CATCGCGTCCTGGCAAACAATAGGGCCTCTTCAAAAGATCTTCAAACAAAAAACCATCGCAGCGTGCGAAGGCAGTGCCCATGTGATGCACTGAAATCCTTTTTTGGTAGGTGATTAAAAGTATTTGCTCATCTCTTACCTATAGAAATAACAGCAAAAAGAAAAAATTATATAGCATTCATTTGTGTGCATCTGCGAATATATTCAAGCATTATTATGAATGAAACGTTTGATCATGAACTCTCAATTACATATATCCTTTTACAGAAGTTAAATTCGCATATATCTATAACATTGCAGTAAACCGCCATCTGTCGGTGACAATTAGAAATAAATATACCCCGTATGCCTTCTATCTCTCCCCTCCCCCAAGAAAAAGCTCCTCTGACTGATCTTTAGGTGCAATTTTTGCTCTGGCACAAAAATTTATTTATTTTATATGATTCTTTTTTATGGGGCTCTCTGTTTATAAGAAATAACTAGGATGTTAAAAGTAACATTGCATCTTACAAACTGGAGACACATTTTTATGTATTTAGAAACCTATATAAAGTAGGAGTATTCTGTTTTATCCGAATTTTCAGTTAACAGATATAACATCAGTTCCTATTATGATTTCATAAAGATTCACTTGTATGTATGTAAGATATAAGAAAATACGATAACTGCTTTTAAAATAATTGGCGTCCTCAAAATTAACGATTCTAGATTTGGTGCTCTTCCCTAAGTTCATCTGTTCTCCCGAATTCGAGATCTTTCTATATTCTGTAACTGTACGTGAAAAAGGCAAATAAAACTAATATTAACCAATCATAGATTGCTTCTAGAATCGCACCTACTTTGGTACCTCTGGCGAGCTAATTACGTCATTATTATTTTGCTGCATTCCTTTCTTAGCCTCCGCCATTGTTAACGTGTCTTCTATGTTCTGCTTGCCCGTTTAAAATTATGTCGCCTCCTTTAACCTGCTTAAATTGTATATAAGGAATTATCGTAATTGTTATGATTAAAGAGTGTATTGCCTACGAGGAATTCTTCTAATGTGCTTGGAAATCTAGAAATAAAGATGATAATTGGCTGAACTTAGTTTGTTATCAATTTCTTCCTCTCACCCTACCACTCAGCCATCGTGTGCTTCGAAATTATGAAAAGTTATTAAATTATTCGAAATTACATATATAGAATGCATAAGTTCATAATGTTATAAATTATTGTCAGATTCTTTGAATAAATTCGTTAGTAATATTTTATAGCAGTTTTTTTTCAATTTAGTTGCAATAAGTCTTTCTCCAAGTAGTCATACAATCTGATATTAAAAAGTGTCACATATAATATCGGTTTAATAAATATCAGCAATTTATTTTTCATTTTTATTAACCATAGATTTTCTGGGCATTAATGAGGGCACAGCAGTCAGTCCTTGAATATGTCACCACTAAAAAATATGAGCTCCGCTCGCAATAATTAAGATTCAAAAGACTGTTCTTTTGAGATATTCGAGTCTCTAATGATGCCCAGGACCTTCTCACTAATTAACTGTCATTAAGAGGAAAATCGCTAATTAATCTCTAGGTATTCATATTCTTAAAATTCAACTTCGGCTGAAGTGGAAGATTCCTTCGTTTCATTTTTTCCTCCTATATTTTGCATTAAAATGCGTGCACTGGTGCTCAAGAAACGAATGTTGTACCTGGTACCAAAAATAGAGTTAACCAAAAAGAAAATATTTTCATTCATTCACACTTTTTTTCCTCATGTTAAAATCGTAGGAAATTTTGTAAAGGTTTAACTTCTTTTGTAGAGTTTAAAAGTATACTGGTGGAATAAGCCACTACCTGATTTGGCTCAGTTGAAACATTATTAATTTACTTAGCACAGAAGTTATGTAATAAAATTATATTCTTTTCTGTTATATAGTCTACAAAATATTTAAAATATTTAGTCATAATGCATTGTTATTATATCTACAATTAAATACTGAAGAATCTGTAGGAACATTATGATTAACAAACTCAACGACGTAAAAGCAACGTATTGCCACTCGGCAAATCGAAAAATATTTATGTTTGAAATTTAATCATAAAATTTAGAGATTTTAAACAAATATGTTGCCATTCGGCCGAGTGTAATATATTTTTCTTCGAATTTAATCAACAAATTTAGCGATTTAAAAGAAATATCTTGCTTCTGCCTGAAATAAGATATTTACATCGTCCACGAGACAATTTAATGCCATTCAAAAATGCCTTAGATATTTAATTTTCATGTCAAATTTTAATATGTTAATGATTAAAAAATTAAACGATTAAAAAGCAATAAATTCAATTCTTCACCTCTGATATTCTTAACTATTAGATGGACATGTAAAATTGGACTAGTGGGGTCATTAAAATCATTATATATATATATATATATATATATATATATATATATTTATCAGACCCACACTCAGTGCTTTAAGACTTTCCGCCTGTTCGGATTTTTGTTTCTCATCTTTATACCATTAAGAACTTAAGAAATATAGACTGGTAAAGACCTAAGCAGGTCGCATGCCTTTTACACGAATGGTGATCTGTGATCTGTGATGCTTTCGCCTAGCTTGACTACAGTCTGTGTTCTCCTTTTTTCTTACTGCAAATTTATCTAAAATGTATAATTTTTGAAATAGGCACAATTAATACGCCAACTTGTTTGTGGCCGTAACATGTTTGCTGAAATAAGAAAGGAAGATTTAATCTGCCTTCACCTCGAATTTCCTATTCATTATGGATCAACACTTCTACGCCATCAAAATTCCTGCTGTTCATTGCTTCTGAGTTTGGTTTTATCATATATATATATATATATTGTTACGAAATGTACAGGCGCGGTAAGATGGCTTCACCACAAAGCAGTTTTAGGGTTGCCATAAATGGCAAGGGAATGCAGAGTTGCCATATTTGGCGAGAAATCGCCCACTTGGCGACAAAATTGGCGATATGCCTTGGACGGATGGAGGACCTTCTGGAACGAATTCTTACCGGTTTTGCCCAGAATGTTCTCGAACACAAGCCAAAAACTATATAAACCCTGCTGGTCCGCATTCAGTGTATGTGTGCTTCGTCTAGCGAGCTGATAGTCAGACATTGAGCGAGTGTCTCGAAGTCTAGCGCCGAGTTGGTCGTCGAGTGCATCGAGAGAGTCTTTTAGTGCATCGCGATTTAGTGCATCGTCGAGTTTTGTCTTAGATTGCGCTCAGTCGAGAGCTATACTCTTGCGCATAGTCGAGTGCATCGCGTGGAAAGTCTCTAGAGTACGTGGAGTTCCGAATATGACCAAACAGAGACGGACGCTGTACTTTGGTGCTTTGCAGTAAAACTTGTCTCCACCGTTATTGCCTGACAGTGTGAAGGCTGTGTCGCTGAACGTGTCAGCGTGTTTATAACAGTTCGACGACTGTAAAATTGATTTTGGAACTGTCCTGAGAATATTGGTAAATAAAGTGTGTTTCGGTACTTCATCAAGTGTCGTCGTTATTTACTCCAAATCTACAAACCCCGTAAGAACGTGAAGGAAGAAAATAACGGAATAATATATTAAATAAAAAGTATTTGAAAAGTAAGTTAAATTTCTTCCATCATGTGAACAGCAGCAGTTCTTTGAATCTGGAGTTTGTCAGTTCTGTAATATGTATATTTTATGTAACGAAAAAATGGCGATTTGTTAGCTTACTAGAATGGGACGTAAAAAAAATGGCGAGACGGATTTAAATATCTTAAAAAGCAAGCTCTACGGTCAACCGATGGATTAACAGTTCTTCCTCTTCCCACAGCTGAATGATCTATTATTATTATTATTATTATTATTATTATTATTATATGCTTATCATTGTGTCTTTGCGAACTAGTTAGTTGAATTGTGCATAACGAAGATTATTATTTTTGTTGTTCCATTAATAAAATATTATTAGCTTTATGAGTTTTACGTACATACAGTATTATAAGTTTTAGATGTTTTTCACTGTGTGAATTGAATTAGGAAAAATGATAATACGCGTAATTTCCATTTCGCGATTATAATGTCATTAGTTGCGGTTGCTTATATTCTGAAAGAAACATTCTAAAGAAAGGAAGCCATAGTCTAATGAGTATAAAATCTATGAAGCCTTTCCTAGACTATAATAAAATAGAATCTAAATATAAGAGATAACTTCACTTTCTCATTTCCAGAAAATACTGTTTCATTCAAGCATCTTTTTAATAAATTTTTATTAAGTTTGGAGTTTCTAAGAAGCCATCGTTTAAGATCATTACTTTTTCTGTAAAGGCTATTATCCTAAATTTTTAATGTACGTTTTCCAATCCGCTGACAATTTAATTTGGTTAAGCAATAAACTTTTTGTAAAACTAGAAATGAGCCAAATTACAAATTAACAGTGATTCAGCAGTGGAAAATACTACGCCATTATGTTTTCATCAGTGTTCAGTATCACAGATTTTATACTGTATTCGTTTAGGCTTAAGAACTGGTAGGTTTCGCAGATATATTGATGATAAAATATAAAAATAATCCCATAAAAGAATTTATTGAAAATTACCAAACTAAGGACATTCTAAATTATTTCCGCCATCTTTGTATGCTCAGATATTATCAAAACTGAAAAGCAGCTTAGCCACCGAGCGTCGTTGACGTATTCAGTTAAACAACAAATAATATACACGTAACGCTCGACTAGCGGTTTTGACAACAACAATCAATAACAGTCACGGAATTTTACCTCAGATAAAGTTCTGTTCTGTAAAGGAATATATCTTTCTATTTATGAAGTTATAAGGAAAAGTACTAAGGCATTTTTTAAAAGCTTAATGTTGAGAGGAATAAATTAAGCATACTCTGTTTATTTAGCCTGCTCGTTGCATTTAAAGAGAAAAATCTTCTGAATGCTGAATTAGATTGTGAAAACCTTATACATTCTGGTGGTGATATGATTGTAATATTCATCTCTTTTTTTCCCATTTCAGACGGAATGTCAGAATTACATTCGTGTCCTGGCAAGAAAATCTGAGGACGTCATTCTAGTCTGCGGGACAAATGCTTTCAAGCCAATGTGCCGAAATTACAGACAAACGGTAAGTGCTCATATTTTTAGTCTGTACTTATTTTTCAGAAAGCGAAGATGCTGGACCTCATTACTTAATAGTTTGATTAATTTTTATTTATCGTTTAAGTCGTCCCCAGCCTTTTAGCAAGTAATTACTGCGGAAGAAATAGTTGATTCTACTAAAAATCTAACTACATATAGATACTGAAATAAAGAACCTTAATATATTTTAACCTAAGCATAGTCTTTACAATCGTAAAATAAGAAATAACTGTTGGCATTTACAGTGTGACATTCTATCGGAAAAATGCACATGTATATTTACAATAACTAAACCCATGAGAAACGATTACTTAAATTCTCTTTATTAATCTATACTAAATGTCATCTTACGTTCGTTTGAAGTTAGATATTTAAGTCTTTTAACTCATTCGAAATTCTTCCATTTATTTTCTTAAAGGTTACTATATTCAGAAGCAGCAGAATTTAGCTTCAAGAGCTAAAGGTGAAAGTAAACGAGAATACAAGTTTTATGCCATTATTATTAAGTAAATATTTAAGGTTATCTGACATCCTGTGTGCTTTAAGCATTTGTTAATTTTGTATGCGTCTGAAATTTTGAAAATGAATACCACTGCTTAATTGCTTAAATGCTTAGAATTATTAGTCCAAAGGGACGCCAGCCCAGAAGAGCTATTAGTCTCGAAATGGCATTTTCCGTCGCATCTCTATAATTGGTTGTATCACTTTTCATATTGTTGACAATAAATATTATTGACCTGCATTATATTTAAAGAAATTAAATAATGAAGATTCTGCATGAATGTATGTATGAAAAAATTTCAGCATTGTAAAAAAACAACGATACCTAGAGCCATCAAATTTTGAATAATGTAGTTCTCCACCCGAACATGGGCACCTGGAAGCCGGAATTTGTTTTGTCTTTTTCATATGTTATAAAACTTTAACGAATTTTTTATTCAAAAATTTAATAGTTTCAAAGTGAGCAGTGGCAACACTGTTGGGAATAAAACTTTTTTATCTCCAGCGCGCGAGACTCTCTGTGGAAAATTCTAAAAATATATTCTTTTTAAACACTTTTTTAGCCCCAATTGGAGTTATCCCAAATGCTCTAGAAACATGTATGTGTCTGTAAATAAAAAAACACCCATTTGGGCGTAATATAAAATCTGAAAACTTTCAGACTTTATTTTTAGTGTTAATATGTTCTAGGCGATGAAACGTAACCGTATGAAAATATTAATGCAATAATAATTCTGTACTTTTTTATTTTCTACACTTTTTAATAATTAATTAGTCTTCCTGATGTATTTTTATAGCCTACTGACTACATTGTAGAGAAGGAAATGTCCGGTGAAGGTTTGTGTCCTTATGATCCTAATCACAACAGCACCGCTATATTTGCAGGTAAGAAAATATCCATTTCTTGATAGAAATTCTAATAAAAATAAAATAATTCAACTTTTTCATTTTATAAAATACGTGGATATGGTTTTTGGAAATTTAAAATATGTCAAGAAACTAGAATTAATAAGAGAAATTTATTTATTGAAATTAAAATATTTACATTTTCAAACACTAATGGACTGTTTTGTAATTTCTCATTATATTCTATATATTTCTTGAATGATGATATTTTTATGGGCATAAAGCTATGTTAAACTGTAAAGCACTTTTTTTAAATCATGTATCTTGCAATCATTTATCTTGCAATTTACATGGCAGATGAATAATATTGATAAAAAGAATTTATTCAAAGTTAATATTAGCAATATTATTTAATTTAATGAAAAGAAATGCTTTCATAATTTGCGTACAAATTCCCGCACGAGATTTTATAATAATATATTTTAATATAATAATATTTTATAATAATATATAATCATAATATATATTCTTCTATGAAAATAATATGAAACTTTTTTTGGTAACTAGTCGTCTTTCCTGAGTTTAATATCTGCTCGGTTGCGGAAAGTCACTAGTTTTGCTTTTCTTGATGCATGAGTATAAAATAATTTGAAATAAAAATTTATACACTTGGTTTTGAAATTAATTTTCTTTTTCTCTCTTCTTTGAAAAACTGCACAGAGGTTGATTTTTAGAAAATTAATTTTTTAGGTTTACCTGCTGCACTCTTATTTTTTATTACATTTTAAGAAAAGTCTGTTCCTTCGTGCAATATTGTTGCTTGCTGGCTCTTCATATTCGAATAAACAGAGTATGTTTAAAAACTTTTAAAACAATTTTTATAAATAATTTAAAAGGCAAATGTTCTGGAATAAACATTTTTGGCAGCAGTTTATTGTTTGAAATGAGAAATATCCTCTGCTACTTTTCTTCTTCCAAAATGTCGCATGTAAACAAATTATGGATTGAAGGATACGTTTTTGCACTTTTCGAAAAGAAATGTACCTATTACATAGCTCAGAAACGTTATAAAATTCATGGTACTGAAATTCCTAAGTGCTTCAGGAAAATATTATTAATCGCAAGGTTTAAAGCCATCAGTCATTAAATGTAGAAGGAAAGAAAACTTCAAACGAAATGATACGTATTGTTTCTAATATTTCTAAAGTTAAAGCGTTGGTTGCAATAGAAAATCCCACGAAAAAATCAATTTCAAAGTCTTTAAATGCATCTGTAGTAACATCAAATAAAATAATATTAATAGTATAGATATCAAGACTTACAACTTGAAAAAGCTAAAGAACATAATGTTCACCTGCGTTTGCCGAGACATATGGCTCAACGCAAAAGAATTTGTATAACTCTGTATGAAAACTATTTAGCAGGAGGTAACTGGAAATAAACTGTGATCTTTGATGAAGCATGGGATTAATGGCAATGAAGAACGGTCTACTTATTAACGAAACCGAAGAGGAAAAAAATATACTAACCTGGTTTTGTCAATTCAAAGAAAATTTTAGTAAGGGGTTTGTGATCATCACAGAATTCTCTTACAATAGGAAATTAAAAATAAGAAGTTTGCTAAAAATGCTTAAATCATCTCATCGTGCTATCAGGTGAAAGTTTTACGTTTGACATTTACAGAAGAAATCCCAAAGAGTGAAACTTTATCTAGATAAAGCAACAGGTCATACTTCGAACAATATTACTGCCATCCTGGAAAAAAATAAAGACTAATACAGGTATTGCATATATACCTTTTCAATGCATTTTTATAAAGTTCCCTGACGTTTGACCTATGGACTACTATACCTTTGATCTCTTGAAAAGAAATTTTTCTAAGCACAAACCCATCTTGATTGATCGACTCTGGAGAATAGTTGTAGAGTAATGGAAATTATTACCACTGAAGTTTTACGAAAATTCCTCCTCTGATGGAAATCAAGATGCAGACTTTTAGTCTAGAAAAAAAGACTACTGAATCGATCATTTAAAAAAAGTACTTTTTATATTTTAAACAGTAATTAAACGGCCCGAAATCATCCTAAAAACGTGGAAATACCCTCTGAAAAGAGTAATATCTTTTACTATAAATCTAAAGTAGCCACATCCAGTAAATCAAAGCAAAAGTGTGAGTATAACTGCTGTATTGCTGAAAGTACATCAAAATTCTCTAATAGAGGGCAATAAATTATGTATAGTCATCTCTAAACCACAGGAGTACCAAACATATAGCAATTCCTGTCGATATTGCACGAGCATAGATGATTACAGAATTTGCGTTAAATCACTACCGATTTCTTTCATTGAATTCGCAGCATACTCCACTGTCGTTTTAGCCATTGCTTGTCTCATTTCCTGGGCTACAGCAAGCAAGTGAGACTGTCAAGTTCAAAATAGAATGTTCATTTATAAAAACATAAAATAGAAAAAATATAATTAAATATTTGCATTAATATAAGATGTTTTAAACAGACATAGTTTTTAAGAATTATATAGAATTGGTAGCTGATAAGCACATACCAATTATTATAACAGTTTATACTATTAATCCGTTTGAACTGTTAATAATCATTAAGTATCAACAAGAGAAATTAAGAAAGAATTATTTCGGATATTCATATCGGATATCTATAATTCTTTTTAATGCAAATGATGATTTGAATTCCGAAATCGCATCTGGATTGAAGGACTTGGAAAGAGCTCAGTTGTTTTCCACGCGATGGAGCTGAGGAGTTTATGTTGATGGACTCGATTTTAAAGAATCTGACGAAATAAAACTTTGATCCTCGGAAACTCCAGAAGAACGTTAAACGCCCTTTTTTTTAATGTGTTACGGATTTATAGCAAAGAATCTCTCTTTCGTCTTAACGCGAAAATGATGTTTTTCCATGCATCCCCCCTCTTTTATTCCCCGTCATCGGAGAGAAAATACAGCATTTGCGTAAGCTCTTTTATGCCAGCGTAGAACTACTATCCCCTCTCCACAGGAAAAGAAAAAGAGGAAAAAATGATCCGCATTTTTGAAATCGATTTTTATTTTATTTCTAAGGAATAATCGATGTTGAGAAATGCTGAATCGTTATCGAAGTAGTCTTTAAATGAGTGCCTGATATTCTGCAATAACAACGTTTTAATAATAAAGCAGGATAAATATGCTGTTTGTCATTTTTCCCATTTAAATTATCGAACTTCAGTTATTCTCCTTGTCACAATTTCTGTCTGGAGTACGGAGAGTTTAGTGAGAATATATGTATCATTATGCAAACGAATGTACATTTTTTTACTTGTGAACTTTATTGTAATATTATAAAATAAAAACGCAAATGCAACTTTCAGGATTTCTTTAATTAAAACCTTAGATTTTGGATTATCATAAGTATTTAACATGCATTTTCGCAAACCCGATTGTCTCTCTACGAAGAATTCTGGTATTTCTTTTGTATATTTGTTGCTGCTGTTGCTTGAAACTTAATGCTTTTGTCTGGAATAGCAAATATTCATCGTTCATTTAGCTGTCTAATACCCAAGAACGTTGCACTGACAGATTTTACATCCCAGAGAATGGGGAACTTCAGTCTAAATTTTGATGTATTCGAGGGCCTGCTACTCGTCTTGAATTACCAACAAATCTGTCAGGAGGGCTTTCGATTTGTAAGTATTTTAAGTACCCTCATGCTTGACAGTATACACTCACATATATCCAAGCCTTCTTCACAATTCAACCCCGGGCCCAGCGATACTACAGCCAACTGTGCTAATACTGTAGAGATAAGAATGACATTCTGTATATTTATAAAAAAAATTAAATATTTAAATATTGAAAAGGTAGCGTTTGAGAGGTACAGGTGAAAGTGACTGGGACACCAGGGTTTCCATTATACGAGTAGAATCGAAAAAATATTGTCCTAGTACATTATCCAACTAGAGCTTTGAACCTTTTCTATAGGGTTATGAGTATGTATTTTTTCTAGTGGCGAAATTTGGTTTTTATTGGTTGGTGTGGGTGTACATTAACAGTGTGTGATTACGCTCTAGGATATATATAATCAGTCTCATTCGACTTATATCTGTCTGTCCTAAAACGTCATCCAGTTCGCGAATATCTAGCTATCCTTCGGGAACTCCTAGGAGCAATTTTTGAAATTTATTTCATAAATTTGGCGTAGAGTATATAATGGGTTATAATGGGTAAAACATACTTTAACTAGTTGTACAGTATTTGGGTTATACCGATAATTTAGTCGTCTGCACTGAGCTGAATTCCGTAGCTTTTTTTCCAGTAGTTTAGTTCGGATGAATAGTTCATAGATCTTACAGCTTCCGTTCAATATTTTGATGTATTGAGATTATAGATCTTGGAGCTTGATAACTAGACTTTATTGCTTAACGGCTTTTGACAGAGGAAGGTAAACATTTACTCCACTTTAGGTTTTCTGTTGTTGCAAATTAGCTCAGAGGCAAATGTTTCGCTTTCCGGTATTTCTTCGCCAGCGATAAGTCACGGAAGCCAAGATTTAGGCTAAGATTTTCATTCATCAAGAAATATAAATCTGAGGGTTTGTTTCAGGTACTCAAAAAGTGTACGAATTTTGGAGAAGAATTACTTTGTAAAATATAGAAACTTCTATTAGTCATTCATTATTTTAATTTAGTAGATTTCTCCGCTGTGATGGTATATAATTCCGTTTGGTTCACCTTCGTGGTTGGAAGCCATGTTAACGGCGCACTCACTCACTCTCCATTCCAGTTAACTCGACTTTGTCTTTAAAGTTGTTGTTTCTACCCGTAAGCTAGCGGGATTGCGTTTCGCTTAATTTTCATTTTGTGTAAACGTCAAATCCACGTCTTAATAAATACTCTTATTTAAACATTTATATTGATTATATTACTTCTTATTAGAAGTAAGACTGGACAAAAAGTCTTTCTATAGTATCTTACGGTTGTTAAGATTTGAGTCCGTATCAACTAATAACGTAATCGTATAACTTAAAAGTCCA